TGGAAATAGGAGAATAGATGGAAAGACGAGAATAGATGGAAAGACGAGAATAGATGGAGATGGGAGAAAAGATTGAAAATAGACGAAAGGAATAACAAGGACAAAAAAGCTACAGGCAAAAAAATATAAATGAAATAGAAAGAAAAGAAAGAAAGAAAGAAAATAGAAAAATAAAGAAATAGAAAAAATTTAAAAAAGAAGGACGGAAAATAAAATACTCTGCGTAAGTAAAGAATTAAAATAAAAGAGAATTGACGGACATAAAAAAGGAAAAAAATGATTGGGTTTTGAGATATATTGAACCGCAGGGTAGGATTCAGGCCGCCCGGCCGAGAAGGAGGTGTAAGGGGCATGCAAGAACATTGATTTGATATCAATAAACCGTCCTTGAATCGGGTTTAGATTTAAATTGATAAAATATCTTCCAATGTTTCATGGTTTTCCAAATATTTAAGAATCATGAAATCAATTTATCTTGTTATCTGTTTATCTATTCAACAACTAATCAGATCAAGATTTATCAGTGTTTATAGACCTGCTGAACACTTTATAGACCTACTGTACACTCTATAGACCTGCTGAATACTTTATAGACATGTATACTTTATAGACCTGCTGTACACTTTATAGACCTGCTGTACACTTTATAGACCTGTTGTACACTTTATAGACCTGCTGAATACTTTATAGACCAGCTGTATACTTTATAGACCTGCTAAACACTTTATAGACCTGATGTACACTTTATAGACCTGCTGAACACTTTAAACACCTGCTGTACACTTTATAGACCTGCTGTACGCTTTATAGACCTGCTGTACACTTTATAGACCTGCTGAGTGCTTTATAGACCTGCTGTATACTTTATAGACCTGCTGAACACTTTATAGACCTGTTGTAAACTTTATAAACCTGCTGAATACCTTATAGACATGTATACTTTATAGACCTGCTGTACACTTTAAAGACCTGCTGTACACTTTATAGACCTGCTGAATACTTTATAGACCAGCTGTATACTTTATAGACCTGCTGAACACTTTATAGACCTGCTGTACACTTTATAGACCTGCTGAACACTTTATAGACCTGCTGAACACTTTAAACACCTGCTGTACACTTTTTAGACCTGCTGTACACTTTATAGACCTGCTGTACACTTTATAGACCTGCTGAGTGCTTTATAGACCTGCTGTATACTTTATAGACCTGCTGAACAATTTTTAGACCTGCTGTACACTTTATAGACCTTCTGAACACTTTATAGAGCTGCTGAACACTTTATAGACCTGCTGTACTTTTTATAGACCTTCTGAACACTTTAAACACCTGCTGTACATTTTATAGACCTGCTGAACACTTTTTAGACCTGCTGTACACTTTACAGACCTGCTGAGTACTTTTTAGACCAGATGTATACTTTATAGACCAGCTGAACACTTTATAGACCTGCTGTACTTTTTATAGACCAGCAGAATACTTTATAGACCTGCTGTATACTTTATAGACCTGCTGAACACTTTATAGACCTGCTGAACACTTTAAACACCTGCTGAACACTTAATAGACCTGCTGTACACTTTATAGACCTGCTGAAAACTTTTTAGACCTGCTGATTACTTTATAGACCTACAGTACATCTTGGAAAGTTTTTAATTTGCAGTACATATTGGATAGTGTAAATAACTCCAGTACATCTTGAACAGTTTTTGATTGAGCAACATAACCCACCTATCTCTCTTCCTGATAGTTTCCCCTACGAAACACCTCCAATTGTATGATTTAAAAATCATATCATACAATAAAATCCGGGTTTGCAATTAAAGAAGGCCAATGTTGCCTTGACAAATCCCGTCATGAAAGTGTTAGTTTAAAGAATATATCTACTATGTAAAGTTATGTACTTTAATGATAAATATATATCTACCTATCTTTAACCTGCAATACATATTATAGTGTAAAGAACTGCATTACATATTGGATAGTGTAAAGAACTGCAGTAAATATTGGACAGCATAAAGAACTGCAGTACATATTGGATAGTGTAAAGAACTGCAGTACATATTGGATAGTGTAAAGAGCTGCAGTAAATATTGCATAGTGTAAAGAACTGCAGTACATATTGGATAGTGTACATTTTGCAGTACATTTTGGATAGTGTAAAGAACTGCAGTACATATAGATAATGTAAAGAACTGCATTACAAATTAGATTGGAACAATTTCACACTTCTATTATGTTTCCATAAGGTCAACATGTGTTTTTCTTATCTAAACTTATCTATTCTCTTTTTATACATATATAACATCCTATCTATCCTCCTATATATCCTCCTATCTATCCTCCTACCTATCCTCCTATCTATCCTCCTATCTATCCTCCTATCTATCCTCCTATCTATTCCCCTATCTGTCCCTCTATCTATCCTCCTATCTATCCTCCTATCTATCCTCCCATCTATCCTCCTATCTATCCTCCTATCTATCCTCCTATCTATCCTCCTATCTATCTTCCTATCTATCCTCCTATCTATCCTCCTCAATATCCTCCCATCTATCCTCCCATCTATCCTCCCATCTATCCTCCTATCTATCCTCCTATCTATCCTCATATCTATCCTTCTATCTATCCTTCTATCTATCCTCCTATCTATCCTTCTATCTATCCAACGATGATAGACCTAATTTTCAGTTCATTATTCAAGATCAGATCTGATTAATTTAAACACCATTTTTCTTCCCTCACCACTCCTTGGAATATGAATATTGAATATTTTATGATATGAAACTTTCCTTGATACTTCTTATATTCTGCAAGGGGTGTAGATATATAAACAGGTTTATGTACATAAAAGAATAGATTTTCTCCTGTGAAATGTCTTAAAAAATTTATTACAAGAACTGAAGACTTCAGGTTTTCTAGATTTGTAAATATTGTCTTTGTAAAATGTCTTATGCACTCAGAATAGAAGAAAAGTAAATAAAAACAAGCAAAAACAAACTTATACATAATTATACAAACTTTGTAATATATCTACAAACTTAGTCTTACGTAAACAAACCTACAGATAATACAATTATATACATAATCCACCAGATACCTCCAGATATATACACAAACCTACAGATACGTCCAGATACATACACAAACCTACAGATACGTCCAGATACATACACAAACCTACAGATACCTCCAGATACATACACAAACCTACAGATACCTCCAGATACATACACAAACCTACAGATACGTCCAGATACACAAACCTACAGATACCTTCAGATATTTACACAAACCTACAGTCACAGATACATACAAATCTTTACATCAACCACCAGATACCTCCATATACATACACAAACCTACAGATACGTCCAGATACAAAAACCAACATATACCTCCAGATACATACACAAACCTACAGATACCTCCAGATATTTACACAAACCTACAGATACCTCCAGATACATACACAAACCTACAGATACCTCCAGATATTTACACAAACCTACAGATACTTCCAGATACATACACAAACCTACAGGTACGTCCAGATACACAAACCTACATATACTTCCAGATACATACACAAACCTACAGATACCTCCAGATACACAAACCTACAGATACCTCCAGATACTTACACAAACCTACAGATACCTCCAGATATTTACACAAACCTACAGATACCTCCAGATACATGCACAAACCTACAGATACCTCCAGATGTTTACACAAACCTACAGATACTTCCAGATACAAACACAAACCTACAGGTACGTCCAGATACACAAACCTACAGATACCTCCAGATACACAAACCTACAGATACTTCCAGATACATACACAAACCTACAGGTGCGTCCAGATACATACACAAACCTACATATACTTCCAGATACACAAACCTACAGATACCTCCAGATACTTGCACAAACCTACAGATACCTCCAGATATTTACTCAAACCTACAGATACCTCCAGATACATACACAAACCTACAGATACCTCCAGATACATACAGAAAACTACAGATACCTCCAGATACATACACAAACCTACAGATACCTCCAGATGTTTACACAAACCTACAGATACTTCCAGATACATTCACAAACCTACAGGTACGTCCAGATACACAAACCTACAGATACTTCCAGATACATACACAAACCTACAGGTGCGTCCAGATACACAAACCTACAGATACCTCTAGATACTTGCACAAACCTACAGATACCTCCAGATACACAAACCTACATATACTTCCAGATACATACACAAACCTACTGATACTTCCAGATACATACACAAACCTACAGATACCTCTAGATACATACACAAACCTACAGATACCTCCAGATACTTGCACAAACCTACAGATACCTCCAGAGACACAAACCTACAGATACCTCCAGATATTTGCACAAACCTACAGATACCTCTGGTACTTACATAAATTTAAAGATACGGATATAAAAATCTTGTGCAAACTTAACTTTACACTAACCTACTCATGTACAAGGTTCATGTGTGGTATGTGTCTGTATGTTTGGGTCAAGGTCATTTCCTTTCCCTCCCCCTCATCCCCCCCTCCACCTCACTTCCCCTCATTCCCCCTCCCCTTCCTCTAACACCACCGAATTATTGAAATTATTTAAACTGTGATGCGAGGCAGAGATGATTTGGTTTTGAAATATGTGGGTACAGGGCCTGTAACATACATACATAGAATAAGAATATATGGATAAGAATTCAGTGACGATTGAAATAATTAGTTTATTCAAGGATTCTTTGTAACTATAATACTCTAATTTCGCTAAATCATTTGATATTTGTTAATACAGGATTCAGAATCTTCTGTTCTCGTAAGTGTGGTTTTCTTTTTTAAAACCACATTCATCATAATAATTTTTGTTAAAAGTATGCAAAGGTACAAGACTCATGATAAGGTTCAATGTTATATGTATGATAAAAATTTAAAAAAAAAATTTATTTAGATTGAGGATACGGGTAAAGAAGACAGTGAGAGAACCTGAAATGGCCAACAATCCATCGTTAGACCCAGGTGAAACACATTTTAAAAGATTTGAAGAAAACAAAGGTCTAAACTTCTACAGTCTTAATCCGTTGATAAAGCAGTCTGATCCTCAGCCCCCTCGGACACAACCACCCCTTTCTGTAGAATCATTTCTTAATTATCTGTCCGTTGATTTCCCCTATATTCCCTAGAATCAAATAATCAAATAATCCTAATCAGTGGATGTGATAAAAATCTTATTCTTTGGAGATAATGTGTCATATGTTTTGGTTTTGTAAATTTTTAAATGTTTTTATTTAAAAAAATAAATCAAAAATGTAGAGACTTATTGTTCTATGGATTTGTAAACAAACAAAGATTTAAGATGTTTTTGTTAAAAACTGAAAAGAATTATGGACTCCAAAGCGTTAAAGAATCCTACGCTGAAGAATGTGTATGTGTATAAAAACACGATTAAATCATGTAAATAATCAAACTGAAATTTACCAAAATCATACTAGGGATAGAAGTTCCCTTCTGGTTGAACAATACACAGAAATGGATATCCGGCATAAACTCAACCACAAGCTGTAGTGACGTCATCAAAGCCCTGTTGTCCGCCTCGGGGCGGTTAAAAGATACAGATTCCTTGGATAAATTTGTTCTGGTTGAGAGATGGCGGAGAGTTGAACGCCCACTAAAGAAGGATTCAAGTTTGCTAAAGATTTACTCCGCCTGGGGTGAGGAGGCAGCCGAAGTACAATTTATTCTAAAGCGAGTATCAAACCGGAGACCTGAACGGCGGAGAGTGAGACGGGTGAACAGCAAGCTGGTCAAACAGCTGGCTCAGCTTGAGTCTAGGCATCCCAGGTAAAACTTCAATGCTGCATTTAGGGGGTAAATGGTAAATGAAAAGGATTTTTTTAGTTGAGCCCCCCCCCCTCCCTCCCTGACTAAACCCCTGCATGCGCCCTTGCCTGCATTACCAAAAACTTAAGACATATCGGGTTTTAAAGTTCTTTATATCGGATAACCTGCAAAGTTTTACAATCTCTAGACTTTTACAGTACAAGCCTTAGAATACGTCGGCTCCTATTGACCAAATTTAATCTTTTAAAAATAGTGTTCGGTTTCGGATACTGCGTACTCAAGAATTAAAGAACAACAACTATATCTGTTGCTATTTCAGTATATTCTATGATAATTAATATTTAGATCAGATCTTATTAGACTTTTTGTAACAAAACTTAGAAAATAAATACACTAATAATACACTAATAATACACTAATAATACACTAATAATACACTAATAATACACTAATAATACACTAATAATACACAATACACTAATAATACACTAATAATACACTAATAATACACTAATAATACACTAATAATACACTAATAATACACTAATAATACACCAATAATACACTAATAATACACTAATAATACACTAACAATACACTAATCTTTAATAATTTAAGATTATGACCACAATATATGTTTCTTACCTCTTAAAGATATGCTTGATTGTGATCCTTAATTTCTAAACTATGATATTGTGGCTATTTTGAATAAGTTGAGCAATCCCTAAAAGAACAATTTTTGCTCAGGCATACCTCAGATACTGAATCCGAGGTTTCAAGTTTCCAAGACAATGTGCAGGTAAAAATTTGGATTTTAAAAACAAAAGTAATAAAAAGTTTATATATGTGAAATATACAAAAATCAGAGGTTGCTACAGGGTTTAAAAAAGTTTCTGATAATATTTATTTAAAAAACAAGGTTTACTGAAGATTTTTAAAAAAGAATATTTGTATTAAACAGATTTTACTGATTGTTGATTAAGAACATTTACAAACCAGGGTGTTCTGATTTGTAATTAATACGAATTTTTATAAACAGGGTTTACTGAATATTAATTAAGGATATTTATCAACCAGGGTTTACTGAAGATTATAATAAAGAATATATTTATTCAACAGGGTTTACTGAAGATTATAATAAAGTATATATATTTACTCTACAAGGGTTTACTGAAGATTATAATAAAGAATATATATTTACTCTACAGGGTTTACTGAAGATTATAATAAAGAATATATATTTACTCTACAGGGTTTACTGAAGATTAAAATAAAGAATATATATTTACTCTACAGGGTTTACTGAAGATAATAATAAAGAATACATTTACTCTACAGGGTTTACTGAAGATTATAATAAACCAACGTGAGACGATCCAGCACCAGCTGCATAATCTGAAAGCCAAGGATTTCTATTTGAAGAGTTTAGACAGGTTAGTTTTAATATGTTTTCATATTGTTTCAAGTCAAGATCAAATACAGTGAGACCCATAAAACTGGAACAGGAAATACAGAAATTGTGCAGTGTACACAGGCTAATTTCAATTTTTTAATTGAGGTTTCACTAGTTGCATTATTACAGCATTAAACACACTTAAAATCACTTAAATAGCTTATTCCTGTTCCTGTTCCAATGTTGTGTGGTTCTTACTGGTTGTATTATTTTTTACTTTTTACGTTTATTATAAGTTTTAATTTTTTCCCTAGTCTTTTCTTTCTAAGAATTTAAGCCAAGAAAAGTTGGCAAAAACATCTTGAATTTTTTCTGCTTATTTTTATCAAGATTTATGATTCAAGGAATTAAAATTACTTGTTTAATTGCTTTATATTTAGTTTAGAATTGCGGAATTAGAAATTTGCGTTGGAAGTGGCAAAACCTTGTCAGATTTCTCGTTTTTAGAGACTGTCCCAAGGTGCAGAGGTCCTAATTCGCAGAACTTAATCCTTTCTTTAGCTCCTGAGAGATTGAACCGAAATAAACGATTTCCTGTTGTGCTAAATAAACTCTATCTATAGGTCTTTTTCTTGTTTGGATGGACGGGAGTATGTTCTTAGAAACTACCTGGATCAAATACCAGAGCATAGCGAGGTTTGTCAAGATTCCACCAGACATATTTAGATAATTAGACATTTAGACAACTAGACAACCAGACGACCAGATAACCAGATAATCCTACAAGTAGTCGTTCAGACACCCAGACACCAGATATCCAGTAAAACAGACAGCCAAACCAAATCTGAACAAAAGACAACTATTTAGTCAGAAAATCGGATATTTGATAACCAGACAATAAACTAAATAGGGAAATGTCAACCAGACAACAACCAGACAATCAAACAAATATACAACTAGTCTGCCAGACAACAACCAGACAATCATATAAATAAGCAACTGTCAACCAAACAATCATATAAATAGACAATATTAGTCAACATGCGACCAGTCAAGCAAACAGTTAGACGACTAGTCAATCAGATAAACAGAAAACTAAACAACTAGACAACAACGCAACTTGACGACCATACAATATGTGTAAATTGCAGAACTAGACAACTTTTAACAAACAGTCACTCATATAACGACCAAACCAGTAAAACTAAGAAATATCCCTGGTGTTCAGGAGACTGGTGAGGATGAGGAGGATGAGGAGGAGGATGGTGAGGTTGAAGGACGGGAGGAGGAGAGTCAAGATAGTGGATGTGGGAGTGGGAATGATACTCAGGTGGGTCAACTTTAAATATAAACTTGAAGGAAAGGTATCCGTAATTTCAAGTAACCCTCCCTCCATTTAAAGTGTTAAATTTGTCTGTACAAAATAGTGGGATTTTCTTTTTTTGTATCTAAAATATTCATAGATTTCCACTTTACACTTCAGAATGACTCGCGATCTATAGACCAAAAACGTGTAGGCTAACGTCGAAAAATAATCGATGGTGATCGCTACTAATCTTACTTCTATTGTTGCGTCTATAAGGAAAAAATTGTTAAAAAACGACTAATACCAAAGAACACATTGCGTCCGGAAAAATTCAGAAAGTTGCAATATTCGGCTAGGATCGTAAAAAAAATCAATTTAATTCCAAACAAATCATTCAGATATTATAACCTATAACCATCGATTTTTTCGATGCATTCGTTATAGTTGATATTTCATAATATATGCTATTTGTTTTATGTACAATGCACTTTAAACGACGATTTGTTGTCTCTTCCACGTGGAACCATACAGAAACATAAATAGCAGAGGTACCTGTCGGCAAACTAATCGTCGTTTAAATTGCATCATACATAAAACAAATTAAATATATTCAATCAAGTAGCAATCACCATCAAAAAATTTTCGAAGTAAGACTAAACCCCATTTCATTTTCGCGAATTAAAGAATATATTCTTCAATTTTGTAGATACAGGATATATTCTTCAATAGTTTAGATACAGGATATATTCTTCAATAGTTTAGATACAGGATATATTCTTCAATAGTTTAAATACAGGATATATTCTTCAATAGTTTAGATGCAGAATATATTCTTCAATAGTTTAGATATAAGACATATTGTTCAATAGTTTAGATGCAGGATATATTCTTCAATAGTTTAGATACAGGATATATTCTTCAATAGTTTAGATGCAGGATATATTCTTAAATAGTTTAGATGCAGGATATATTCTTCAATAGTTTAGATATAGGATATATTCTCCAATAGTTTAGATGCAGGATATATTGTTCAATAGTTTAGATACAGGATATATTCTTCAATAGTTTAGATACAGGATATATTCTCCAATAGTTTAGATGCAGGATATATTGTTCAATTATCTAATCCTAGTGTTTATGTTCATGGCCTTGATTAATCTAAATCTAATTTTATTCCTGTATTTATCCTTTGACTTGATTTATTGGACTTTCACCCTGTAAACTATAAACCTATCTAGGAGTCTAGACTATTATCTATCTATCACTCAATTATCTATATACGGTCTTAAAGCCATATTTTGATTAATCGAAATCTTCGAGATGCCGACAAAAATACGCCTACCGCGAATAAAAATGACAGTTTTAAATTTGTTTTAAAATTTCTGCAACGAACTATTTTTGCACACTATAGCCGTTTTTTCTTTTTTTTTTACCTTTTACTTTTTATTCAATGCATGAAGCATTGCCGTTGAGTTTTTTTACTTTTTATGCACCATGAGAAATGGCTCTGAAAACAATACTGTACTTTTGATGCTTTATTTTTTAAATTCTTCTATAAAATTCTTAAACTTTGCAACCTTATGTCAATGCAACCCTGGATATTACAAACAATGAATACCGCGATATAAAGTAAGTTTCGAAATATCAAAGGTTTACACCATCAGACTGCAAAGATAAAGGAGTTAGAATATTTGAGTTTGTGGCAAAGGCTGAATTCCTTTGATTACGTTTGATAAATGTATTAATTTGGCTACTTTCATGAAAAAAAAAACTTGAGAAAAAGCTATGTTAATATCTAAATATATTTAGATATGTAAATATTCTTCACTTTTTAGTGGTGAGCCCCCTGATGGTTTGTAATTGTGAGTGTATTGTGTTTAAACTTTACAGACTCAAAACTAATCCCGAATCTAAGTTAGCACTTCGGTTAGGTTTGGTTTGGTTTGACTGGGATGGAAACCGTCCAGCTAACCCGATGTATATTTCAAAAGTTATGATAAATGAGGCTATACATTCCAATACAAACGGATAGGGGAGAGCTGAATTCAAGTTAGAGATGAGAATCAAACAGGAAAATTAAGGATGGAGAAAGAGGGGAAACATGGTGCTTGCTCCATTCCAAAATAGGATTTGCCCCCGGCCACGGACGACATCTGACCAAATAAATTGATATTTTTGATTAGGTCGAGTTGATCGAACGTTTTCAACGAACACCGTAACTAGCCGAGCAATTTCATAAAAGAAAGAATTTATTAATTTGAATTTTTCACATAAAAATTAAGGAATAGTTTGAGGAATAGATGGAGGTTGACAAATCGCATTCTAGGAAGTAATCAGAAATGTTTGAAAGGGAAACATCGTTTAAAGGGACTGTAAAGAAAAAATGAAGGGGGTATAAATATAGGCTGAAGAAGCTGAACGATACCTCTATCTATCTTATGTTCCTGTCTCTAGAAAAATGTGTCAAAATTATACCAAAACGTATATATGTAAGATATACGTCCGTATCATATGACCAGATCTCCCTCCAGAGGCAGTGCAGTATACTAGTCACGCCATTGGTTGGAGTTTAGGTGACATGTTCCAAACGCATAAGTAATATTATCAATTAAAATCTATTAAAAATGAAAATTATTAAATTCAAATAATAATAGGAGAAAACTTGAATTTCTCAGGCTCCTCTGGGATATTGTTGTTTTCAGATTGGGAGGGTATTTGTTGAATATGATCTGTTTAATACTACGAATCTTATACAAAATCTTAAATATACGTTTTGGTATAATTTTGACACAGTTTCATATCCATTTCTCGAGACAGGAACATCAGATAGAACTTTTATATGTCTCAATCAACTCCTGAGATTCTCAGGTTTCAGCCTATACCCCCTTTCATTTTCCCTTTACAGTCTCTTCAAGGATATTTAAAGTGGTGAAAATTGACACAATTGAAATATAGTCTTAATTCATTGGAAGAAAAAAGCTGAGAATCTAGAGGAAATTGAAAGTTTAAAGTTAAAGAAAGTTGAAGTTTGTTCGAAGGAAATTAGGAATATATGGAGAGTGAACACAATAGGTACAGGGGTTAGGAGATGGGGGCGAGCCTTCAATTGTGTAGATATAATCGGGAACAGATCGGTATTGTATAGGATACAGATAGAATCATAGATAGATAGCGTAATATGTATTATAATACAGAGTGTATGAATGTAATCGATCCAGGGTTAGGGCCTTACAATCCTCTAGAAGAAGAAGAAGAAGAAGAAGAAGAAGAAGAAGAAGAAGAAGAAGAAGAAGAAGAAGAAGAAGAAGAAGAAGAAGAAGAAGAAGAAGAAAAATAGTTGAAATATAAAGAAAGTAGTAATATGGAAGTAAATATAGATATAGAAGTTGGGAGGCGTCTTATTAAGATTGAGTATGTTAAATGTATTTCATGTAATTACGAATATAAGTAATTACTATTTTATCAGATTATACAATCTCTAATTATCTATCTATCTATCTAGTTCTAGTATCTATACTTACATCCTGAAATTACTGTATCCTGAAGTTTGTGTGTTGAAGAAATATGTTTAGTAATAAGCATTATGGCTAGTTTTGAAAATTATCTTGCGCGATTCTTTTGTACAGGTTGATTTTTCTGTTTCCCTTTCTTTTGTTGCTTTGTGTTCTGTGTTTAATTCTTCAGAATACGAAAATACGAAATTACATGTTCCCTACAACACGTGGATGTGTTTGCTGTGTTTATACACTGATTAAATGGTCTTTCAAACATTTAAAAGGTTTGGACATTTTACCCTTCTTTTTATAAATATAGGTTGCCAAGTGCTAATGCATTAAAGTGCTTCTGTTTCATGTTTTTATTAATAATTAAGTGTTTGCAAAAGTTTCCCTGGAAGTTTGATGGTCAGCAAAACAAAGATCACTTCTGACAGACAGACGAACAAAAAGTGTCTGACAAACAGGAGATACAGACTAACTAATCCCTGGCTCGATATCAGATTCAAGATTGAAATTATAAAGACATGCAATTCCAGGGGTATTAGGCCTGCAATAATTTGTCTGAAAACATTACAGGTTAGGGGGTCAGTATTTATTCCAATCTTCATTAGATTCTTTAAATATAAGTTTTACATTATTTTCATTAAATCAATCAATCAATTTCTTACCATTAAATCTCCTTGAGAAATGTGACTTTACGAATTTTAAACTCAGAAAGCTGAATTATCATTTTTTTTTTTTTTTAAATAACCCCAACAGAATCAAATGATTGTTAACGTTTAATTAAAACAATTAAATTTTGCGCTGACGATCAAATAATTTGATTCGATGTGGTAATTTCGCAAACCAATTTCAAGAAGAATTCATTAAAGCCCGATATTCCAAGATAAAAAAAAACAGAAAAAAGCCAGTAAATCTGGTTCTATTTTAACCGTTTATCTTTTATGTTCAGTTTAATTCATGTGCGCAGTTGATGTGCAATTTAAAAATAACTTGGTCCCGTGTATATAGAGATCAACGTTTAATGGAGAGGTATCGTAAAACTGTTTGTACAGTGCGAGATTTTAATGATTACTGAATAGGCACAGTAAAATACACTCGGGGTTATCGCACGCTGCAGAACTTAATTAGGATTACTTTATTACTTTATATTAAGTTCAAATTGTATTTTATTGAATCAATTACAGCTGGAAAAAGAGTCCAGGAAATTAACTAATTAACTCCTCTCGGAAGATTTATCCTACAAATACAAACAGAAAACTCAGCGAAGCAAACAGCAGACACAAACCGCACATTCTCACACCTTTCCTGACATACAAACCTCACATTCTCACACCTTTGCTGACATACAAACCTCACATTCTCACACCTTTCCTGACACACAAACCTCACATTCTCACACCTTTCCTGACACACAAACCTCACATTCTCACTCCTTTCCTGACATACAAACCTCACATTCTCACACCTTTCCTGACATACAAACACCCCCACACATTGTCACTTGCTGACTTTCAAACAACCATATCTACATACATGTTATGTACGGGTGTGACACTATCTATGCAGTGTCCTGAGGGATATAATTTGCAAAAAATTAATTATAATTTGCAGCAGGGTGAGTTGGCAGCTTGTTTAGGTTATAAATTTAAATTATGTGTGTGTGTTCGTGTTTGTTGATATGTGTGTGTGTTTGATAGTGTGTGTGTGGTTTAATACCCGAATTATCTGGTGTGTGGCTGGGCATTGTGTGAGACCCCATAATTTTAAAGATTATTTCCCTCTCCCCTCCCCCTCTTTCCCCTACAGTATCCCCCCCTCCTCCCCAAACTCTCTCATATCATTTATTTTTTGGTAGAAATCTTTTACCAAACTAAGCTTCATTAAAAAGGCTCTTAATTTATTGTATTTGACACAGTGTAGTACTAGAATATGGGAACACCACGCAAATTAAACATATTTATTCATTTTCACGTTGCATCCTTTAAATCATACAAAACTAAGTAATCCCAAGCATATTGGAAAAATTGTAAGGTTTTTTCCGTGATTATAAACCGTCAAACATACTTTTATTTTCATTGCTTAATAAAGAGCACTAATTGACAATTTTTATATTTAATTGGTGATAAATAGAGAACTGCTCACTGATTCAAATTGGACGTTTGAATTACCGTGATATATTTCAATAATGTATTTAATTAAACCAGTTTACAAAGTAAAATAACGTAACGCTACTTTCGAGACTTAGCGTATAATTCATTGCAAAGGAGAAGGATTTGTGGTTTAACGCTTTGGACTTTGATTGGACAACAACAGCTTTCCTCCTGACAGCTTATTGTTTTGCTTTATTATATCAGAATGTTGGATATTTGAATAATCAGGAGATCTGAACTTTTGTATCGTTAATCCTTCCAAACGCAGTAATCCAAATCTTTTGTTGTCCAACGAATTAGGTTAAATCATTTCATATATTTCTGAATGTCCAAGGATGCACCAAATGAACTACAAGTCTGGTACAAGTCTTACGATCCCATGAGAGATGGTTAAAATAAGAGTGAACTGTTTTTAAAAGATTAAGTGTTTAATTACTTTATATTGAAAATATACTGCTGTGCATCGAGTGAGCGCCATCTTATACAAAAGTTATTAGACCTAAAGGTTGGTTTATGCTTTGAACAGATTTGGGATTTAGAAGTATTTCTTATTCATTTCCTGTTTTTGTATTTTTTTTGTATTTCACTTCTCTTTGTAAATATGCGTGCTCCTGTGCACATTATGTTTGTGAAGTTTACAAAGTGAACCTTCTCCACTCCTTCTCTTTTAGAATATTCCAACATATATTCAATCAATATTGATAGATTGAAGATTGTAAATCTATCTATCTATCCTTCCATACAAAAATATGTGCCTACCTACTTGTCTATCTGCACTCTACTTTTTAGCTATCTATCAATCTATTTGATTATCTACTTACCTACCTATACCAATCTACCCCCCCAAAATACCCAACTAAATCTCTACTTTGCAATCTATTAAAACTATCCACCTTGTATACTAACATAGATATCAGATATAAACTTATCTATCAACCTATTATCTATTTAAAGGAATTGAGTATTTGTCACAAACTAAGATTTTCTAATCTCTATATCTTTGTAATCCAATGCTGTAGACCTTAGATATTTCAAACTATTTTTTCATCTTTTAGATGAAAAAATCTAAAATTGAAATATCAAAGGTTTCCACCATCAGGTGGAAAAAATATAGGTATTAGAAAATCAGAGTTTGTTACAAAGACTCAATTCCTTTGCTATTTTATTTTAATTACTGAATTCCGGTAAAAACTTATCTGTCAACCTATTATCTATTTAAATATACTATTTTATTTTAATTACTGAATTCCTGTTTGCATATTTTGTATCCCATTATTCCTTTATTACCATCGTATTTCTGTTGTCTTTCTTTTGTTGCCTAGAATATTTTTTTTTATGAAAAAGGTCTCACAGTTAGTTCTTTTCTGCAATTTTTATTTAACCTTAATTGTTGGGACTCCAAATTTTGTGACTTTTATACCAATATCAAAAAAATAATTGATTATTCATGAATTAAGGATAGCAGTAATGAAGCTCTGTCTCCGAACCCTAACCTGGAGAAACCTCTCATTGTCTCGGAAAACCCCGGTTTCTCCTCAACCAATAACCTTCCGTCCTACACAGACAGGACAGACAAAGAGGACAAATTGTTTGGACACCAGGACCACCAGGACCGATCTCTTGGGGCCCTGGACCATGATGAGAAATCCCTGGGGGCCCTGGAATCACTGTTTGAGAAGCTTTTTCACCTCAATAGGAAACTCGAGATTCAGGTTCGTCTTTTTATTAGCATCGATTCTTGAGATATTTTAAATGTCCACTTTAATCCTTTTTAATACAAATGTTCGTATTATACATTATGCGTAAATAAAGAATTAACAAGGAAAAAAGTTCCTGGTACTTAATTCTTTTATGGCCGAGTTTGTTGTTTTATATCAAGGGAAATTACGTTGAGGAAATTCTATCCCTGCATAAAGAGGCGGTAGAATTTTAATTTATGTTAATTTAAACAAAAACCCTGGAAAGAAGGGAAGCCGTAAAAATGTTTATGTATACATATATATATACATAAACTGGTGCCCACTTAGACGTAGCACTAACAGTCCTACTCGTTTTGTATCTTAAACTACGGTTCTAGCATAGGATGCTTAAACTATTGTTTTCAGTGTAATTTATGCTTAAACCAGGCTTGTATAAAATACGGGATTATGACTAAAAAAGGATTGTTTTTCTTAAATAAACTAGAAAAGTGAGAGCGGCATGCATGAAGGGGGGAGTAATGTAAGGGGGAGGGGTGGTGGTATACTAGGTTTGGCCTTAAAAGCTTGTACCGCCATGTTTCACTTTACTCCCAGCCCAGACAATGACTAAGATTAAGAGCTAAAACTGCTTTTTGATAGGTTGGGTGGAGTAGGGTCTTTAAACAACTTTTGCAGGTTTTATTTTCTCACCGGTCCTTTATATATACACTAGTTGTTCAAGAGTTTTATATTTTTCATGTCTTACGCTTCTTTTTCCAGGTTTATTTTCTCACCAGTCCTATATATATACGCTAGGTGTTCAAGAGTTTTATATTTTTCATATCTTACGCTTCTTTTTCCAGGTTTATTTTCTCACCAGTCCTATAAATATACACTAGGTCTTCAAGAGTTTTATATTTTTCATGTCTTACGCTTCTTTTTCCAGGTTTATTTTCTCACCAGTCCTATATATATATACACTAGGTGTTCAAGAGTTTTATATTTTTCATGTCTTACGCTTCTTTTTCCAGGTTTATTTTCTCACTAGTCCTATATATATACACTAGGTGTTCAAGAGTTTTATATTTTTCATGTCTTATGCTTCTTTTTCTTATAATTGCACTGTTTCCGTAGCCTTTACTTTACTTTTGTGTCAGTCAATATCCATCTATCTATTTATCTATATATCTTTCTATTTATTTCTATCTTTCTATCTATCAACATATTTATCTATATTTTAATTTATTTTTCTTTTTTCTACCTATCTATATATCTATAAATCTATCTATCTATGTATCTAACTATTTATCAATTTATTAATTTATCTGTCTTTCTATCTATAAATATATCTATTTAGGAAGAGGATGTGTTCCGACTAACAGTGCAGATGGAAACCATTCTGGCCTCAGAACATACAACAAACCTCAACCCAGAACAGGTAATAAATAGAATATATATTTAAGGTAGATAGATTGATGGATAGATAAATAAATAGATAGAAGTATAATGTAGATGGATTAGATAGATTGATAGATAGGTAGATAGATAGATAGTTAGATAAAAGTATAATGTAGATAGATAGATGGGTAGATAGACAGAAAGAAATAAGTATAATGTGGATAGATTAGATTGATAGATAGATAGATAGACAGATAGATAGATAGATAGATAGATAATTAGATAGATAGATAGATAGATAGAGAGAGAGATATATAGATAGATGGGTAGATATAGATAGAAAAAGTTTAATGTAGATGGATTAGATAGACATATGGATAGATAGGTAGATAGATAGATAAAAGTATGTAGATTAGATAGATAGATGGGTAGATAGATAGATAAAAGTATAATGTAGATGGATTAGATGTATAGTTAATAAAGACAGGTATATCTATCAGGTGTAGACCTAAATCGACCTATTCACCTTAAAATCTAAATTTTACAGTTTTCAGTCTAAGCTTTAGATCTAGAGAGGTTGAATATACGCTTAAAGAATTCGATATCTATCTATCTAAATATATGAGAAATCAAGAAAATAAAGTTTTCATATTATTGGTTCTCATCTCTTTTCTCTCCAAACCTTTTCTTGTCACCCTCAACTATTCTTGTAAATATAAAAATAAGTTGATAAGTTTTTGCCACCTCCCCTTTAATCCCCCCCCCTCTCATCGAACCCTTGAACAACTAGAAATCCCCAGGTTTGGATTTCCCCGATTAACACCCCAGCGTGAAATTTAAACAAACCACCAAGTCAAGCCCCGCCCATCCTTCCCCTCCCCGTCTCCCCTTTCTAACCCATACTTTCCAAATTATGTCATTTAATCTGCCTTACTTGAAAACAGAAACCACAAGTATATTAAACCCCTCCACTTTATATTCAAGATCTCTCACATCATTTATTAACCCATTATTATAATAAGAAACTTCGATTTTAATTTTAAAATATTTTTCATTTAACAGAATATTCATAAAATCTTTTAAAGGGGGGAGGAGACTGTTAAAGAAAGTTAAAAAACATAGGGAGAAAAAATTAGATGGTTAAAATATGATACTGAAAACTGATAAACTGGACAGGAAGGAAGGTTTTATGAATACGATATAACCGAATAGATATGAACAAAATAAAGTTAATAAACTTGACAGGAAAGTTGAAATATAGAGGCAGGAAAGACTTGTAGCTTACCCGGACAGGAAATAAATTTGAATATTGCAGGAAATGTTGCTTGAGCAGGAACTGTGTGTTGCCCAGGAAGAACTGGACTGTATGGCCAGGAATGGACAGATATTCTTTAAAAACAGAAATTTGAATAATATTGAAAAATAACTAAAGATGGGAAAAAAGGAAAATATGTGATTGGTTTTATCTTCGGTTAGGTTTCACGCCAAATATCATATAAATTATATTATAATTATATTAGAAGAATAAAAATATGTGTTCTTTAAAACCATAGGCTTAACTCAAGACTTGGATATGAGATTAAGAGGAATGAGTTGGCACTAACAAATATGATCAGGTTAGTTGGTCTCAACTCTCAAACTCTAATTTCCTAAAACCTATATCTTTGCAACCTATGATTGTATAAACTTTGTATAATCAAACTTTGATTATTTTAGTTAGAGAAATTCATTAATTAAAAAAAAACATTTTCCTGATGTCACTGAAAGACGAATTTTCGAGATAAACTTGAAACTTTGATAAATAAAGTTTTAGCTTTCTTGCCGTGCTATTAAACGTATATTTATCACATTTTAGCGTTGGACAGTTTTTGTTTAAAGTTTAATATGGGGCGTTGAATTGACAGCTGTAATCTAATTCATTCATTGACTAGATATCATTTATTCACTGACAATTAATTATTAGTCAACACCCAGCAAAAAAGTAATCTCTCTATCTATCTATCTATCTATCTATTATAATCAATCAGCTGGTTGGGCTAAAAAGATGGATGATTAACTGATACCTTCACATTATACAGAATAACAAGCATTATTAATATTTAAATAATTAATATAACTGTTCCAGGAACTACGAAGGTCGGAGGCAGTTTGCGGAGAGGTTGGAGAATGAAAATATCCGGCAGCCCCGGGACCTAGAGGAGGATAAGGACCGAGGATTGAGGAGGATTGTTGAAGAGTCTGAGTATGAAGTGGAGGAGGAGGAAGAGGATGGGGAGAGTGAGAATGAAGAAAAAGAATTTGTAAGATTTGAAGATTCCGATAAATTAGAACTTTTCCCAGTTCTTGATCCACCCCAGGAGTTTCAAAACTGTTTATCCCCTAGCGCCATTTACGATATGACGTCAGGTTATGAAAGCTCACAAGTACGGTACATGGAAAACCGGTTTCCGTTGAACTATGAGAAACCAGTGATTAGAGCGAGTGTAGCGAGTCCTGCATACTCCCAGGATTCAATGTCGTCTCAAATGACGTCATCAAGCGCAACGGAGAAATCTGTTCGATTCTCCGACAGAGACTATATTCTGTCAACCCCGGAGCCCCAACCTTACTCCAGGGAAGGTGGACGAGACAGCTCCGAGACCGGAAGTAGGGTGAAGGGTATATTGAAGTGTGATGGTCGAGTACCGGATGTAACCTCTTTTATGTTGGATAATGAGGACGGCACACTTGTCTAATTAATCTTTTTAATTATTTTTACTTTATATGCCGTCTATAATTATGAATTGTACCTGGGCTAAACACTATTAAATCTTTAATAATAATAAAACAGAAGATAGTAAAATATCTTTATTATTTTCTATATGGTCACAGATTTACAAAAAGAAAATAGAAATTAACAAAACTATTTCTGATTTCTTTGATCTGTGCAGTGTGCACGTTGTGCGCAGATTTGTTCTATATGCAGGCATATACTTGGCCTTGAATACTTGGCTTGTTTTACATGCATATTTCTGGCGGGAAAGTCTACATACTTGAGACAATGAATGATTAGTCGGCTAACCAGCTCCAAACTAGCTTTTTAGTTATTTACTCACATTATTAACTTATATCACCTCATTTATTGGATCAATACTATCGATTGAAATATTAAGATTTAGATTAAAAGACACTATTTTCCAAGAAAACACCCAAGTGGCATCTCCCAAAAGTAATTCTTTGAATAGATTATTATAAATTAGTTGATATTTTCCCCCAAACCAGTATCATAGCTCCATCTAAATTCAACAAAATCTTACCTAATCCCTATTTGGAAAGTAACCTTTTAATGCTATTATTGAATGTTGTTTAAAAACTGCATTATATACATAGTTTTATTTCATGTTTGAAAAAGATATTGACAAAATCTTCACTTTTTTAATTCGAGTTTAAAAAGTATTTTTATTCAAAGATTAGAATAATGAACTTGTAAACATTTTTTGTAAATTTTCAAAATTTCTGAATACCACAAGACCTCATTTTCCAGTCTCTTAAAATTCTGGTTTATTATAAAACTAATCTAAATATGAGTTGTAAAGTGAGTTCTAGTCAGAAAGTAAACTGTGATATGTAAATTAGAAACATTTTTTGTACATTTTTAAGTCAGGTGCCTTTGAAAATAAACATTAATCATATTTTTATGTTATTATTATGATTCAGATATTTTTTTTCAGTCAAGAACCGAAAAAGAAAGTCACAGAGGTAACGGAAACCAGAATTCGATTATTTTTAAAAAGAAAAGCGTACGGAAGAATCTGAACTTTTCATGGATAAAAAAGAAAATAAGAAGAATTTTCTGAAGACATTTTCGCAAAGGAATTGAGTCTTTGCCACAAACTCAAACTTTCTAATCCCTATATCTTTACAGCCTGATAATGTAATCCTTTGATATTTCAAATTTGACTATTTGACCTAAAAGAATTTAAAGTTTAAAATATCTAAGGTCTACAACATTGGGTTTAAAAAATAAGGATTTGAAAATCTGAGTTTGTAAAAAGACTCAATTCCTTTAGGTTAAAAAATAGTAGACCTGAAATGAGAGGTATATATGGTTAGTTGATATTTAACTGGGACGTATAAGGACTGCTCATAAACATGTTTTTTTATTTATTAACAAACATTAGTAAACAATAAATCAACAAGCTAAACCGTCCTGCGCACCCTGCCAAGGAAATTTCTGCTCTTTTTTTACAAGGTTTAGGATCTTGAAATCATTTTAATAAAACCAGTTTTTTAGCAGAAATATTCCACTAAACTACCTCAGTTAATAAAGGAACTGAGTTTTTTAAAAATCTATATTTTGAATCCCATCTTTGCAAATCGATGTCGTAGACCTTTGATATTTTAAACTACCAATTCGGTTGTATCAAACAGTAATTTTGAAATATCAGAGATTTACAGGCTGTAAGGATACAGGCATTGCAAACTTGAGTTTGTGGCAAAAATTTAGTTCTTTCATACAAACTCAAGAAAAATGTATTTAACTACTTTTTACTAACAAATTCTAACAAAAAATTAAAAATGGTATTTGCTGCGAAAGATAAGATAATTGTAGTTTGATAGAAAGAGAAAATGAATGATTTTTAAATAGATTTGAACTCAGCTAAAATTAGTTGTAAAACATTGTCTGTGAATAATTCAGGCTGACATACATTATTTATGTACTCAGAATGTCAGATGGTGCAAAGATTACTTGAAAGCGATTGCGAACTCATTTTTATGTATCAATGGATTGCGAATTCATTTTTTTATGTATCAATTGATTGTCAATTCATTTTTTTTGTGTATCAATGGATTGAAAATTCATTTTTTTCAAACAGACTGTCAAGTACGTAGATGTCAACAACTAACTATGCAAATAACTAATTTAGTCTGAAATTATCACTTTTATTTATAATTTTTTTAGACACTAATCAGGATTGACACTTGTGACGTAGATACAGCTGTATAACTGAGAGTGTACGCTTTCTGCGTTGCCACCTATGGTACTTGAAAATCTATTTGATTTTTCTTATAAATCGATGAAATGAAAATTCATTTGTTTTTATGTATCCATTAACAGTGAATTATTCTTATGTAACAATGGATTATAATGTTATTGTTTAACTAAAAGAGATTTTAACATCATTTCAGTGTTTGTCTATTTATTTCAAACTCCCAAATTTGTTCATCAACGTGTATTTAAAACTCGCCTCATCTTGATCTGAACTTATTTTTAACTCATTTTAATGTTTCTGTTTTGCAAGAATATATGTTGCAGCCACACTTAGACTATAATGCTTTAGTTTTAGGTGGGTGTGTGGTAGGGGTTGGAAGAGTTAAAGGCAGGCTATTAAGTTGGGATCTTAAAATAGCAAACTTCTTTGTAACGGGTTTAAACAAATTAAAATGCTGAACTTTATGATTTCATTTACATGTATGAAGTATATAAACTTTAACGCTCAGTAAAGATAAGAGTTTTCCAAGATTTTTTAGTGTTTTTGGCATTTTTCAGTTTACGGTCATTTTACGAGGAATATATTTTCCCATAATATGATTCTATTATGTACCTCTATATGCAAATTTAAGTCGGAAAAGCGAGAGTGTTTTGGTTTAATGTACATGTTATATGGAGGAGTCCGGTTCAACATGGATATTTAGTAAGAACAAATAAATTCGTCTTTAATATGCGGCATACATTCGACGAACCTGGGAACGGAGAATATATTTTAACCAGAGAATGGAGAATATATTTGATTTAGAGAAGGGAGAATATATATTTTAACCAGAGAATGGAAAGTATATTTAAAACATGAATGGAGAATTTTTTTGGAACCAGAGAATGGATATTATATTTGAATCAAAGAACGGAGAATATATTTGAACTACAGAATGAAGAAAATGTTTAAACGAGAGAAAAGCAAATATATTTGAACCAGAAAATGGAGAATACATTTAAACAAAAGAATGGAGAATATATTTTAACAAAGAATAGAGAATATATTTGAACCAGCATATGGAGAATATATTTGAAACAGAAAATGGAGAATATGTTTAAACACAAGAATGGAGAATTTATTTAATCTATCGAATGGAGAATACGTTTCAACTAAAAATGGAGAAACTGTTCAACTAGAAAATGGAGAATAAATTTTACCAAAGAACGTAAAATATATTTATACCAGAGAATGAAAAATATATTTGAACCAGAGAATGGAGAATATATTTTAACTAGAGAATGGATAATATATTTTAATCAGAGACTGGAGAATATATTTGAACTAAATAATAGAGAACATATTTGAACTAGAGAATGGAGAATATATTTGATCTAGAGAATCAACAAAATATTTGAACCAGAGAATGGAGAATATATTTGATTCAGAGAACGAAAATATGTTTTGACTAGAGAATGGAGAATATATTAAAACCAGAAATTCAGAAATTTAACATAGTAAACACCACAATCTGAAATGATGTTGGATGAAAAGGATGAATGAATGAATAGCTACCTAATAGCTTTAGTCTGTAAACTACACAGTACAATGTAGTCCGGATGACAGGGGGAGGGGGGTGGCAAAAGGGGATTGAGAGGGCCGGACATATTCAAGTTCAAATTTAACTTGCCAAGGTTCTAACCGAATAAATATCAGAATAACAGAATATTTTGACGATAAAGGGCGAATCAAAACCACATAAAGTGCCTCCATTTAAATTCTTCGAGTTCTTTTGCTGCTGGAGCACAGTATTCACACATGTTTAACATCCACAAACCAACACTTGTAAAACTATCTCGGATTCTCAGAAAGGAACTGAATTTTTGCCACAAAACCTGATTTTTTAATGTCGTTATCGATATTACAAACTAACATTATGTCAGTTCAAATATTCTAAGTTTAAAATTCAGATTGCAAAATGTATGGAAAAAATTAAATTCTTACAAAATTTTGACAATATTTGGATGATTTGGACTATCAAAATATTAAATTATTAAAGTAGTGATATTTTAGACTACATGTTGTTAATTAGTGAACTACAGTTGAATATTTAACTAATGAACTAGTAAACGAGTGTACTAGTTAATTAGTGAAGTCTAGTTTACTAATAAAGTATTGGTAAACTTAGTGAACTATTAAACTAAAATGGACCAGTAAATTAGTAAACTTTTAATGTAGTAGACTAATGAAATAGTATCTAGAACACTAGTAAACTAGTAAACTAGTACACTAGTACACTAGTAAACTAGTACACTAGTACACTAGTAAAGTAAACTAGTAAGCTAGTGAACTAGTAAACTAGTAAGCTAGTGAACTAGTAAACTAGTAAGCTAGTGAAAGGGTAAACTAGTAAACTGGTGAACAAGTGAACAAATAACTAGTAAACTAGTGAACAAGTAAACTAGCAAGCTAGTGAACAAGTGAACTAGTAACCTAGTGGTAAGTAAGCTAGTGAACAAGTAAACTAGTAAACTAGTAAGCTAGTGAACATGTAAACTAGTAAGCTAGTGAACAAGTAAACTAGTAACCTAGTGATAAGTAAGCTAGTAAACAAGTGAACTAGTAAGCCAGTGATCATGCAAACTAGTAAGCTAGTGAAGAAGTAAACTAGTAAGCTAGTGAACTAGTAAACTAGTAAGCTAGTGAACTAGTAAACTAGTAAGCTAGTGAAAGGGTAAGCTAGTAAACTGGTGAACAAGTGAACAAGTAAACTAGTAAACTAGTGAACAAGTAAACTAGTAAACTAGTAAGCTAGTGAACAAGTAGACTAGTAAGCTAGTGAACAAGTAAACCAGTAAGCTATTGAACAAATGAACTAGTATACAGGGTGTGAGATGAAGAATATAAATATTTAAGCTCGGGTGAAAGGTTAGAGTTTCAGGCTAAGTTTCAACCTTATAACTGTCCATCGTAACTCTAGACTTACATTCACCATTTCTTCACGGGGTAAACTGCAATCTGCATTCAGCAATCTACAATATGTATTGAGAAATCTACAATCTGTATTCAGCAATCTACAATCTGCATTGAGCAATCTACAATCTGCATTCAGCAATCTACAATCTGTATTCAGAAATCTACAATCTGCATTCAGCAATTTACAATCTGTATTGCATTCAGCAATCTACAATCTACATTCAGCAATCTACAATCTGTATTCAGCAATCTACAATCTGTATTCAGCAATCTACAATCTGCATTCAGCAATCTACAATCTGTATTCAGCAATCTACAATCTGTATTCATCAATCTACAATCTGTATTCAGAAATCTAAAATCTGTATTCAGCAAATCTACAATCTGTAATAAGCAATCTACAATCTGTATTCAGCAATCTACAATCTGTAATCAGCAATTTACAATATGCATTCAGCAATCTACAATCTGCATTCAGCAATCTACAATCTGTATTCAGCAATCTACAATCTGCATTCAGCAATCTACAATCTGTATTCAGCAATCTACAATCTGTATTCAGAAATCTACAATCTGTATTCAGCAAATCTACAATCTGTAATAAGCAATCTACAATCTGTATTCAGCAATCTACAATCTGTAATCAGCAATCTACAATCTGCATTCAGCAATCTACAATCTGTATTCAGCAATCTACAATCTGTA